GATTACGTATTCTGATTTTGAAAGATTTTCTCTGGAGCATTTCATCTGCCCAACGGTGGAACTGGATTGGTTTTATAAACTTGTTTGTAATATATATAATCTATAAAATTATATAATTTATTTTACTTAATGAACATTGTCAAAATTGTGCCTCCCATATAACACAGCAGCACCCTTATGGACTTGTCAGTTTTTGTTTCCAGTCACATCTACAGGTAATGTTGATTTCCACATCTTTAGTTGCCTATTACATTCAAAACACATCCCATTGGCTATATATATATATAAGCCTTTATACTGCAAACAGTCCAAGCCAAAACAGAAGACAAATATTACTTTGATTCTGACTAGGACTGCAACAAACGATTATTTTCTCGATTAATCAATTAGTTGTTATTAGGTCCAGAAAATTGTGAAAAATGTTGATCAGTGTTTCCCAAAACCCAAGGTGACATCCTCAAATGTCTTCGTTTGTCCCCAACCCAAATATATTCAGTTTACTGTCATAGAGGAGCAAAGCAACCAAAAATATTCACATTTAAGAAGCTACAATCAGAAAATTTTGACAGTTTTTCTTTAAAAAAAATAGTTGGCGATTAATTTAATAGTTGACAACTAATTGATTAATGGATTAATTGACTATCATTGTAATTCTGACTCCTCTCTATGCAACTTCATAGTGACAGTGATGTCTTTCTTTTGCCAAACTGATCCCTCTAATAGCAAGGTATCACATGTAATTGTGGTTATGCCTGCATAATAAAAGTGGCATTTAAATATGAGGCTAATACGCTAATTTGTGTCTGTGTCATCATCATGTTTGAGGGCAGAATTAACAGCAAAGGCATTGTTTGGTGATTATTTTAAAATCTATTTATACTTACTTAAACTTATGTTTACACTTGTGTCTTCCTGGTACTACTACTCATAACCAATATTTGCATATAAGAGATTCAAATCCACACCTATTTACAGGAAGAGAGGGCTTGCTCAAGGGCATTTTGACAGGATAGACTGCGGCAAAAGGACAAACCAACAAGTAGAGACAAAACAGGATCAAACCAGAGGGAGTTTTGGATGTGGGGCAGTGTATAAGTCACTGTGCCGCCCTCCAAAGCTTCAATTATTGGAAAGCATGTGGCCTCAAGAGACAGTAGACAGAGTTAAGACAACATACAACATCCCAGGTTTTATAACCTTACTTACTAAATCCAAACAAAAGAGAAAGGCTCATGAACTCATTAGGCTACAACTAATGTCATATCAGCCCCTGCCCAAAGTTTACTCCCAAGGACACAGCACTGATTGGAATTTATGTCACCAGTCTATGACTATTTTTTCCATTACAGCTACTGCACAGAGGCCAGCTGTTGTTGAGTTCAGCTGACACGTCCCATTTGTGTTTTGTCTGCATAATCAAGGAAACCAGAAGTAAACTGATTGAAAGATACAGGCCCAAATTACTCAAGAGGAAACAGGGAACAATGAGCAATTTATGGTCGCTTCTTGTCTCTGTTAGACCACAGTGCTGGATATCATCAAGGCTTATCACTGTCATTTACATCGTTCTTTCCCATTGCCCACGGCAGAAACCTCTGTAGGAGCGTATTAGCCCAAAGAAGTTACCTAATTTTAACTTAATAAAACTGCTTAAAAGGCTTAAATTATTACAGTAATACACAATTTCATTTAATAGTTTACCCAGAAAAACTTTTTTTGACCCGTTTATGTAGTTAAAAAGAAGTCCCCATAATATAACTATAACAAACAACACTGATGATTGTTGTTATTTATTATTGTTATAGGTGATTTGATTATTACACATTGATCATTACACACGTCTCTTTAACATTGCGTGGAAGTCGGGTACAGTGCCCAAGGAGTGGCAGACTGGGGTGGTGGTTCCCCTGTTCAAAAAGGGGGACCAGAGAGTGTTTTCCAATTACAGGGGTATCACACTTCTCAGCCTCCCCAGTAAAGTCTACTCCAGGGTGCTGGAACGAGGGTTCGGCCCATAGTCGAACCTCAGATCGAAGAGGAACAATGCGGTTTTCGTCACGGTCGTGGAACAACTGACCAGCTCTTTACTCTCACAAGGATCCTGGAGTGGACTTGGGAGTATGCCCATCCGGTCTACATGTGCTTTGTGGATCTAGAGAAGGCGTAAGACCAGGGAGGTGCTGCGGGACTATGGCTATCCAATCCCTGTACATCCAAAGCGAGAGCTGTCCGAGTACTCGGCAGTAAGTCGGACTCTTTCCAGGTAAATGTAAATGCTCCGTATTTGTATAGCACCTTTCTAGTCTTTTCGACCACTCAAAGCGCTTTTACACTATATCTGCATTCACCAGTCATACACTGAGCCTAAGTGCTCAAACCGAAACTAACATTCACACACTGGCGGAACAGCCACCAGGGGCAATTCGGGGTTCAATATCTTGCCCAAGGGCACTTCGACACGCAACCAGGGGATTGAACCGCCGGCCTTCCGATTAACGGCCAACCTGCCCTTCCTCCTGAGCCACAGCCGCCCGGGTGATGGTTGGCTTTCGTCAGGGCTGCGCTTTGTCACCAATCCTGTTTGTGATATTCATGGACAGGATATCGAGGCGTAGTCGTGGCGAGGAGGGGCTGCGGTTCAGTGGGCTTGGGATCTCGTCACTGCTTTTTGCGGATGATGTGGTCCTGATGGCATCATCGGTCCGTGACCTTCAGCTCTCACTGGATCAGTTCGCAGCAGAGTGCGGAGCGGTTGGGATGAGGATTAGCACCTCTAAATCTGTGGCCATGGTTCTCAGCAACAAACCGGTGGAGTGCCAACTCCAGGTAGGGAATGAGTCCTTACCTCAAGTGAAGGAGTTCAAGTACCTTGGGGTCTTGTTCACGAGTGAGGGGAGACTGGAGCAGGAGATTGGCCGGAGAATCGGAGCAGCGGGGGTGGTATTGCACTCGCTTTGCTGCACCGTTGTGACGAAAAGAGAGCTGAGCCGTAAGGTAAAGCTCTCGACCTACCGGTCAATTTTCGTTCCTACCCTCATCTATGGTCAGTGTGGAGATTATATCTCCACACTGGCCGGGAACGCCTCACGATCCCTCAGTCAGAGCTGGTTAATGTGGCTTGGGAAAGTGAAGTTTGGGGTCCCCTGCTGGAGCTGCTGCCCCCGCGACCCGAACCCGGATAAGCGGATGAAGATGGATGGATGGATGGATGGATGGACACTGACTACTACAAGAGAATAAATAACAAATAATAATAAAACAGGAAAAACAGGAAAAGTCTGCTTATCAGTAAGAAAGCTATATAAAACTACAGATGATGATTGAGTCTCTTTACTTCAACATTGTGGCTAATCTGACACTGCAGAAATTGAACATAGTGAGCACAAGACCACCTTCATAACTGAACAAAGTTAGTCCAAACTAGCAACGTTCCCAGATCTGTCAATCCTTTAAGTCGTGAGAGTTGGATAAATTACTAAGTTTCCCTGAACAAACAACACAACAGGGGCACGGTACAGCTAATTAAAAAAGTAGTAACTCGAGTAACAGCCTGACACAAATTGTGTACAAGCCATCTATCTATAAATCTGTAGATTTGTATACTATCTACTGGCCTTATTGTCCTGGGAATCTGACAATAACACATCAATTACAAATTAAAGCCAACAAAATAACCATTTGCACCAGGCTTCTTTGACTTTATGATACGTGTATTAAGCCAATCCTAATTCATAAAATCATCTTGGGCATCATATAGGAAAGTCCCACTGTGGCCACCATAACAAATAGACATTCCTCTCTTTGGTTTGCACTAAAAGAGGGTAAAAGGGCAAAGACCCATTACAAGACCAAGCTCATAATGATATAACTGTTTTTTTCTCTGGGTATCCTGTTTAAGAAAATACTATTTTATTCAATCAAAAACTGTCGAAACCTGTTTCAACAAAGCCTAGCCATACAAATATGCTAACCAGTGTAACTAAATGATTGGAGAGAAATTCAACAAAAAATAACAATTATAATCTCCTGCAAACTAAAAGAAAACACACTAGCAACAGTAATCAATGTTGCAGCGTCACACTCTGCCTCTGCTCCATTAATAAGGTTGTTTTTCAAAAAGAAAAAATTTTTTAGGATAAACAACTGCCCTGTAGTGCTGAAAGGGAACCTAAAGAGCAGCCATTACTGAGTGCAGCTTGGGCTAACTAACTCCTTTAAACACACACACACACATACATAGATAGTCTGACAATGACCGGCCACTGTTGACCCAATCAATAAAATCAGATTGTGTTGTGCACTGTAGCATTATGATTGGCCCAGTAGCACTCAACACACCCGCTCTCCACCTGTTTTACCGTGTAATATCCATCCATCCATCCATCGTCAACCACTTATCCTCCGTACAGGGTCGTGGGGGGCTGTTTGTTTGTTTGTTATTATTGTCTTTACATATCTGTGAGTTCAAATCTGTATTCCGTTGTTATTTCCAACTATTTTAACTAAGTACAAGCGAACCAAAAGGTTTTGTTTGTCCAAATAGTATGCTTATTATACAAGTGCATTTTTATATTACACCCTTGTGTATCTGTATTAACACATTGAAACATAATAAACAAAGTAAAAAAAAAAAAAAAAGAAGCTAACCAAGAGCCACTGTAGACACTATAAAACTGTGTTTAAATGCTGAGTAGTGCTCCTGGTAAACTGATGTGTAAAATTGGTGAAGTACCGCTTTAATTTGAGGTAAAAGGCACAAATTGAATAAGTTACTGAATTCAAAGTAGATCAGAGTTGTTAAATACTAATCCTGGAGTTATCAAAATCACAGAGAACAATATTAAAATGTAGGACTGGCTTAAATTAAATTAAAATCTTGCTCTCTGCTATGCTATGCTACAAGGCTTACGGTTGCAAGACGAAAATAATACAAATACAAAATCTCACTCAAAATGCTCACAAATGCTCATCCTCTCACTTACGATCCCTTCCTGACTCACCTGTCTCCCAACTCTATTATTATGCAGCCTCATACGGGCATGGATGTCTTTGTAGGTTTCGCGGGCATCCAAGAAGTCCCTCGAGAACTTCTCACCGAATTCCACATCGGGACTGCAGCCACCCCACTCCCAGGAATCCTGGGGTCCTGGCAGGTCAGCGGGGAAATGCTCCATAACGCCGTGTACCATACCCTTTCCCCGGTGGATGGCCTCCAGTTGCAAACGGTGCAGTTTGATGCGAAAGGCCTCCTCGTCCCCACGGCGCTTCTCGTCACAGCTGCATGCCTTCAGTTTGCCCATGGAGCAGGCGTTGGCCACTGCATGTACCACACCTGCTGCTGCAATGGCATACGCAAAGGCACTCTCTCTGAAACCTGTGGGGTGAAAGGACAGTATCATGGTGTTGGTATATAGCATACTGTGGAAGTAGAAGGTTATAGGAGGTACAATAATAAGGAAACAGAGTTTGGGAAAGGAAAGACTGGGATCTTTTGTCTAAAAAGAAGTGTCTAACGAAAACGAAAGTTGACATGATGGCTGAGTCAATATTCAACAATGTGCCAAATTTCTTTTAAGAAACCGCTCTAGAGGCATTTATGTTGTAAGATGGAGTTGATGTAAAATGTTAATAAACATTAAAATAACCTGCAGGCAGAACATACTAGTGCGTCTATGTAATGAACCTGTCAGGTGAAATGAGAGGATTACCAGGTAGATGGAGGATGACATTTGCTAGGTAACAGTCCAAACTCATATAACTATGATTAAGGTGCTGTTTTCAAGTGTTTTTTAGTTGTGGTAGATTTTCTATTTTTAACTGAAAAAGCATCCAAAACTATTTAATTCCCCACATTAAAGTTCTGTTGTAAAACTGCTGGATAAAACTTTAAGATGTCAAGTGATTTTCCTAGCCCTAAAACTTTAACAACAGCTAAATAAGCAAGACAAAGAGATGTTTCAACCTCTCTGTTAGCAACATGCGTCATAATGTTTAGTGAGTTTGCACGCTTTGTTTCACCTACCATCAGTAATGCTGTAGTAAAAAAGCTTCCTCTATTTTGATAAAGACAGACATACAAGTTTTTCACACATGTATATACACACACGTCAAGACTCATATAACCGGGGGAAACATCTGGGACGATAGCAATTAAGTGTTCCAAACACTTGCGTATTTGTCTCTGTGGGCCAGCTGAACGTGAACAGACCCCCACCACTCCCATCAGAGGACTCACAGAGGACTACTAAAGGGGCTGCGCCTCCTTCTGTCTGTCCTGCTGCTTAAATACAAGATACAGTATGTGGCTGTACTACTCACTGCTGTCTACTTGCATGTACTATCTATGTAAGTGAGTACAAATCAGCTAGAACCTGAATTTGTGCTGCAGCACTGTACACAACATGACCACTTGAGGTTTTGAACCAAACTTGGTGCATTTCTGGATTTGCCTGCCTCCCTCAGTCAATCCTTCTCCTCCACGAATGTTCTTGATACCCTTTTTAAATCTTCAACACTTTCAAGTGACCTTTCATCCAAGTTGGTAACCATTACATTTGCTATTCTGGGCCAATTGGCACTTGGTCACGGGCTTACTTCTCTGGCTGACTGAGTGGCATCAGATGGCTGGCGTTTGATCAATTTATCTGCTTCTGTCATTTTATCATTTGCAGTGAAACTTTAGGTCCAAACTACATGTTTCTGTAGGTGCATGTTTCAGGTTAGAAAGTCTGATAACGCCATATCACAGCTTTTGCCTTGTAATCACTTCAAATTGGCTCAGACGGACTACTGCATGTAGAGAAGGTGGTTAAATGTCTGTCTAAAATGCCTTTACAGCTAAACACATCCCTTTCTTCCCAACAGCATATCTAACTTGCGTGCGGCACATGTAATAAGTGCAGCTCCACCGCAACTGATTTGCAATTCTGCAGACTAATGTTACAGTACTCTTCTCTTACACACACACACACACACACACACACACATTTATGTCCATGTCCAATTGTGGAATCCTTGAATATTGAAGGATGAAGTGCAACAGAAGCACTTACACTCGTACCCTCCACAGTGTTTGTTGTTAGATCTCAGCTTACAGCCTATGACCACTGGTGCCCTCAGGTTCTATAAAAGCAAGCCCCACTGGCAGTCACTTACTGGTGTAGAAAACAGTGACGATTATAATGGAAACTTGTAAAGAAAACATGAAACGAAACCACTTAGGAGTTTATAGCGCACTGCTTGAAGGGGAAATGATTCAGGCTGCTTGTTGGAGTCAAATAAAAAGCTATTAACTGGAACTGGCCCTTTTAGCACTGTTTGATGTTACTGCCTTATTTATGTATTTAAGTAAACTTGATATTATTTTGTTTTTGTGAGATATGATGTAAAGGTTGACGTATTGTTTTGCTTTTGTATACTTGACATTAGGGACACAAAAAGTCACAGTCACAATGAATGAATCAGAAATTCATCTGTCGAGCAAGTTGTGGTCTGTAGTTTTCCTATGCAACTTACAGCACATTCTGCAGAAACAGTAACACTATTGTCACTGTAAAGCAACTTTACTGACATACTTATTCAGAAACAAAAGTTGTGTCACTCCATCACCTTTCTATTTAAGACAAACGTATGATTCAAACACTCCTGCCTGCAGAACTTAAAGAATATTTACAAGATATTGTCACATTGTGAATGATCACTTCCTTACTTTGCTTTACTTTTCACTAAATCAAGCTCAATTAGTTTTGCCCAAGGCAATTCTAGTTTCACTCATTTATTCAAGTCTCCCAGTTGAATTGAACTTAATGAAAAGTTGTCCTTATCTAAACAAAATCCGTAAACTGTGTATTCAAAATCTGTATATATTAAAGTCAGAGACAAGATGAAGGTGTATCATAAGTGTTATACTGAACCAATGTCAGGTGTCACTTTCAGACCGACTTTAGCCCCGTGTGAAAATGTCATTCGGCAAAGCACTGGAATAAACAGGCCTTAAACAGCAGTCCCCCACCTGCTTAATATCTTTGAAAAAGCAGTGAGTCGACCAGATAGAGGGTTGATTTTCAGTTAGAAAGGAAGCAAACCTCAAGTAAACAATCTGGCAACATTACCCATATTGTCTCTAGCTGCACATACCCTGCCCTGAAACCTGCATCGATAGAATGTTTGGGCCACAATCGGAAACGACACATAACACAACAAAGACATTCTACAATTATTTAGGTTGATATAATGACCTTGTTAGACAAAAGTTGCTTATTAACACACCCAGCAGACCCAGAGCAAAGTTAGGATTCACATGGAGTAGTCTTTGTGTTCACCTGATGAATCCAAGTCCAAAATTCACTCTCACCACCACCACCACCTTGTCCCACACAAGGTAGGGGAAGTGAGCGGGATGGCACTTAGGCACATCCTTATACATAGAAAGCCTGTTTTAGCTCTTGCCCCCGGAAGACTAGGAACAAATCAATCTAACAAATAATTCACCGGTGGCGGCACGCCCGGCTGAACTGATGGCAGAGGAAGTGACAAAATGAATTAAAGATTCAAAGGAAACTGTCACTTTGTGTTACAGAAACCGACTAAACAGGTTTATGCTTTTGCCGCAGAGAGTTGGGAAAGTGCTGAGAGCAAATTCACAAGCACTTGCACTGGCAAGGGACGTAAGAGCATTAGGAGCAGCCCAGCGAGGGAGGACACAGACACAGGGACAGAGAAAGATAGGGAGAAAGACCAAGAGAGGGATTCTATCCATGTATTGCTTGACGGCCTCTTTAGCCTAGTTTTTAATGCAAGCTAAACGTGAATGAATATGGGGCCATAAAAGTTATCAGAATCCATTAGCAGAGAGGCACGTGGCAGAGCCAAAGAGGATCTGAGCAGCGTCTGAAATAGTAAAATTAGACACCAAAATAAACACTGAGATGCAGAGCCCCTAATACACAACTCAAACACTTTAGAATAGAAGAATATCAAAACATTTGAGGAAAGTTTGCAAGAATATTTGAACGAGACGAGGTTCCAATGCTGACAAAAGTCATTTGTATCAGTTTTACTTGAATGGCTTTGTGTCATAGTGTAAACGTTTCTTCACAGGCTGTAAAAACACTAAACTTAGTTAAACTATAGTTTGGTGTACATAAGCCTTGTGTGAGACTAGGTTATTAATTTTTCAATGGACAGTTACATCGAACATTTGTGTTAATTCTGTCTAATCCATGTCTGTAAAACTCAATTTTTCAGTAGCCACACACAATACTGGCTGCAGCAACTTAACTTGTATCATTTGTTTAGCTTCTGTGGAGCAGAACGTATCAACATGTAACAGATGAATCATCCAATTTAAAGAGATTGTTTATGTCAGTGGTTTGGAGTTTCTGCACCCGAGGCAAACCAGGGATGCCAGACAACCAGCAACTGCCTTTACTAATAATGACAAACAGCTTTTCAATGAGTCACTGAGGAGTGAAAGTAAAGCCAGAGGTGTGTAAGCATATACTGTAATTATGATTATTTTTTAAGTTAGACATTGGTGACAAAAAGTCCTCAATGAGGGTTACAAAACTACAGTTTCATGGTTGTCTTGCTTAAGAATGTAAATTACTAAGCACTATGACACGCCATCCCAACATTCTAGGGTCCTTTTTAGTAGAAATGAAAAAAAATTGAAGCTATGTTTGCATAGGAATGTTCTTCCTCATTTGGTGAAACTGAAATCGAACTTAACTCAAGAGTCAAACTACCAACCACATTGTGCACTGTTCATCCATCCAGGTGCTCTGGCTACTAAGAAACTGATGCCTTTTCCAGTCAATAAACTGGGATGGGTCCATCTGAGGACTTCCCAGCGTTAAAGATCCTCTTTCATCCTTTGTGGCTGAGTTGCAAAGCTCCCAGCACTACAAAGTGTCAGAGAAAACTGATCTGCATGAGGTTTGGTAATCTTGAGGTGACGAACTACTTTTGAAGTTACCTGCTTTTTTGTACAGGCCGATACACTAGGGTGGTTAGAAAGTGCATACCCGTGTGCTAGTCACTAAAGATAACCTAATCATTTGGAGTTTCATTTAATTCTTCTGAGCTAACATTAAATAATTGTGTCTATGAGGGACAATGATCCCTTTTGATGATCTTTTGACTGAATAATATTACACCAGTGCTTGTTAAGGATGTGTATCTTTGTGGTAACTAATCTTTCTAAGCCTATCCTTTCAAGGTATTCAATCAAAGTGTGTTTGAGGATGAAACCACAGCTTGTTTGAAGGCCTGCATGCCTATATATCATTGTCTTTTCAGCAGGTAGCCTGTTGTGACATCTCAACTTGCCTACACCTCATTATCCTAAAGGTGGAGGTGTAAACCTTGTAGGTTTTCTACAATCAACAACATTTTGCTTCCCCAGTGCAGTAACGTTTTGGAAGTTGGAATTGGAAAGATGCAAAATGCTTACAAGAAAGGCAGATGTGAATTCAAATGAAATTGTACAGTAGACCAATTTCGGTAATATATTGTATAGTGACCATAAAACTGACCTCTTTTAAAGACTATGCTGTCATAGGGTATTTTGTTCCTAGTCTCCAGACTGGAGCAGTTCCAGCGGTGCCCTCTGAACTGGTGCTGGCACTCATGGATGGCAATCTGAATTCCCTGGATTGCTGAAGCTGTGACGTCTGGGTTCCGCATGCACACCTCCAGCTGGCGCCGTGTCAAACCTGGCAGCGTCAGGCACACCGTGTTGGCATTCAGGATTGGATCGATGTTGGGGAGCTTCAGGCCCAAGATTTCATTGGAGTCTACCCTGCATGGAGCACACAGGTCAGGTTATTGACAAGACAAACGTACAATATTTTCTGTTATTGGTCCTGTGAGCATCACACCTCTCAATTCCCACAGTACCAAACAGACGACCTGACTTGGTTGTCCCCAGTGTAGTCAGTTCCTCTAAAACCTCAATAACTGTGGGTTGATGGTTGCAAAACCATCTCCACATCCTAGCAATGACTGCTGACTATACTATGCTTAGATGACAAAAATATCTAATGCTTATTGATACAGAATAAAAATCAAAGGTCCAGTGGGTAATTTTAGAGGCATGTAGGTTTATACTGATTTAACCAAAACCTGCAACACTCTGCTTGCATTTAATGTTGATTCAGGCAGCCAAATTCAGTTTTGTCTCCTGATCTTGACTTTGACAACAACTTTACTGTGCAGTGCAAAATAACAGTTAAACAGCAGAACAGATGAGTTGAAGTGGGGGATGAGGGCACAGCATCCACTTTGTTGGCATGAAACCAATAGTTCTAGTAACAGTTTTAGATGCGCAGCTGGGGAAAAAAAAACTCCCTCCCTCATATTAATCACCTAAGGAAATCAGTTAGTGCGTAAATTCAATGACATTTTTGCTGTAAGGTGTGTCTCTCAGTACACAACTGTCAGCGGCTTCTGTGAGAGATCAATCGTGTGTGCAAAAGTAACTCAGCGCCCAAAGCTCTTTTCTACTTCACAGAGAAACAGTGACACACTGATCATGGCTGGAGAGCTGCAAAGTGCCCAGCTTTTCATTTCATTATCATTACAGGTAAAACACAGGTGGATGTGTCAGGCGCATGTATGGCTGTGGGAACACATACACACAAACACACACACACACACACACACACATCTCTATATGCACATGCTCAAGCACACCCTGACATGCAGACACAAATACCCAGGTGTAGGGAGGAGTGTACAGTAACACACACACAGACACTCACACAGCTGCAGAAACTTTGCAAACTACTGTATTTCTTTCCATAGTTTTGTCAAAATGTGGAACTTCTGCCTGTTTCTCTTCTGCAAGCCTCTTTATCAAAGACACAAACTTAAAAACGATAATGCATGTTCTGCTGTAACAGTAACCAGTAGCTTTGGTCTCACCATCACAAACCCATAACATCAAATGTTGGTCATTTGAATAGTGGTGTCCTACTTTCTAGGTGGTATTGCATTTTGCCTTGGTAATTCCAGTTAGGCTTCTGTTGCTACCTGTTGTGTTTCCTGCTTTGACAGTAAACCTGTTTCAACAACTAACTTTCCAAAGTGCAACTTTTTATTGATTGGCAACATTGTTTGGGAATGAGGGGTGCATGTGAAGCAGATTTTCAAGTAGGCTATTTAAGTTAGCAAACCTGCAAAAAGGGAAACGTGAACTAATGTTTTATTATTTATTTTATATTTGTATATGTTAGCTTTAAGCACATTTTAGCCAGATCAACAGAGGTTATTTAGCATATGCTTAAATAGATAATTAGGATAATTAGGCTATTTAATTCAGTATTAGTATAAGTTAAGTGAAGAACTAGAGATGCTCTTTCAGTACTAAATTAAACGAACACAGAGATTCACTTTTTTGGTCACATTGTTTGAGTTCAGGCATCTCTTATTAAACTCAACTCACCTTCTATCCAAGAGACAGATAACTGCCAAGACGCATGTTATTCTGAGGACCGAGTGTTCCATTTTGTGCCTTGTAATTAAGAAAAAAAAGTTTTAAAAATAAAAAGACAGGAGTTTAACGTCCAATATTCCGCCTTAAAAGTTTAGGGAGGACAACAGAAGAGGGTCAAGTCAGGTCCGGCTAGACGTTGGCGCTGGTCTTGACAGCTCCGACGAAAGTCCAGATGTGGTGCCAGCCAGCGGCGGGATACTCATTCAAAAAAAGTTTCATCAACCTCCTAACTTACTGAATGGAGGATGTTGCTACAAGTCTGAGGAAAAGTCAGTGTTGTCTTTCTCATACACATCCGTACATATTCCGGTGTCTCCGCCAAGGTATTTTCATTGGTATAACATCCGAGAGAGACGGCTGAACCAAGATATGCGCTGTACATGAAGTCTGCTGTGATGTTTCAGTGCGCACCGATAGTCCTCTAAACTACTGCACTTAGCGCTTCGCCAGCCCACTTTTTTTTTGCGTCACCCAGAGAGCAGGAGAGCGCCAAGGGAGGTCAAGTGCCTCGTTAAAGCAAGATAGAGATCCCCTTAGATAAGGTAACCCGAAACACTTAGTCTGCGTCCTGAGGAGTAATATTTAAATTCACTGGAGGAGCGATTCTGAGGATGAGTGCATAGCAAAAGTTAAGAGTAGGATACTTTTTTATTGATTTCAGCGATTGGAGATTTGGTTAAAAAGGTGATGATGAAGATGATTATGAGGAAGAGGGAGAAAGGATCAGGCTAAGAATAATAATGAAGATGTTTTTTTGATTAATGATGATTAGATAATGAAGATGAATTAGATTTTATCTTCAAATGAACCATGATTTTCAACTCCTGTGTGTATTTGCATCTGTGTACACTGACACACTTTTTGTATCCTGCAATGACAAAAAGAGCTAACAACTGGGGAAATTGAATTCTTCACTGTATACCTACATTCTTAATTTTACTCTTTAGCACTTCAGAGTAGATCTTATTTAGAAAGCAATTATGTTCATTCTACAATGAATTAAAAGCGAGCTTTTTTGTGTGTGTGTGTTTCACTTCCACAAAGTTGCGTAAATATCCTGACTCATTTTCACTTGTACGGGTGAAGATCTTACACTTCCCATAATACAACAGCATCTTTTCAACACACCACCCATCCTGTTGTAAACAGGAGGTACCGTTTACATCATCAGGGTTGATTATTTTGTCCGACTCTAGAAATATCTTCCAGAGGCTGTGTAACAATGACAAGTAAACTTATTTTGATGTGTAAAATCAATGGCGTTGTCCTTTATTTTATTTTATTTTTTCAGTGAACAAGAATCTGTTTTAAAACACCAATATTTGTACTGGAGGTGGGTTTCTTTGTTTGAATTATGTCAATGTGAGGACCCTCCTGCCCTGTGAGTAGAAAATGAAAACCATGAAAAACTGTGGGGTTGTTAAAATTGTCGGCTGAAGTTCCCATTGCTCTCTGACCTTGTCTGTGTGTCATGGCCTTTAATCTTTCCATTTAAATGACTATAAACTATAACAAACAGCTCCCTCGTTGATGAAGACCACATGATATCACTCATCTCAGTGCTTTATGAGCAGCCTAGAATAAAGATGCAGAAACCACAAATAAAAAGGTTTTCCCCCCACCAGTAGAGGGAAGCAAGCATTCTGCCAGCATGGAGTCACCAGAGTAGTAAAACACTACACAAGTTTAGCATTCAGACGCACTTAAGTTGCCATACACATATTTAGAAGATCAGGGAAACAATCCCACATCAAATTTTCTCAGAGAGATTTATCACAGATCTGGAAGATTTGCCCGGGACAGCAACTTTGTGTTTAATTATTTCAAGGCATGTAAGGAAAGCAGGCGTGTTAGTAGACTTGGTGGTTTTTGTGACTTTTGGTTTGGTTCTACAGCAGGATGTATTGCACACTGTCATCCCGATCTTTCTGTCTCTCATCATGACTGATGACAACGTTACTTTTTGAATCACAGTTCCTTATTAACATGACTCATACCCCCTGTCTCCACTTAGAGAACTAAACACAGCAGCAGAAAGGACCTCAATTGTGACACTATTATGAGAGCGAGTGAGGCAGAAGCAAAGAGAACTTATTTAGACATAAAACATAGTCATGATAAAGATAAATATACTCATGAAAAGTCATAAAATAGAAAATAAATTATTTTTATTTTATTTTATTTATTTACTGCCAATTTGTAACATTAGTTATCTCATCGCACTTTTCATAGAGCAGGTCTAGATCGTACTCTTCTTAGTAATATTAAGAGAGACCCAACAGTTCCCACCATGAGCAAGCACAAGGAGGTAGAAACCTCGAGCAGAACCATGACTGAGGGGAGCAGCCATGTGCCACAACCGGTTGTGGGATAATTTGACTTACTGAATCAGAATTATGAGATGAGTTGTATCTTTGACTTAAAACAAGAATATAACTTTTAAAAAAACAATTGATACACTTCTCCACTTAAAAATGGAAAGCTGCATCTATAAGCAGTAAAACACACCTTTGCTCAGGTCATTGCTCTGCAAAAGCCTTACTTGGTGTAGTAAGACCAGTAGCTCATCAAGACTAATGTTAGCTAATGCTAACAAACTTTAGCAAGACCTTGTTTCTGAAATGACATTACAGAATTTTCTGACTTTCTGACTTTAATCCCATAATTGTCACTTAAGTTCTCTTTAAGTGACCTGTTTCATAGAGCCTGTTGTTTAAAGCAGGTCTATATTAATTAACATCTGCTGAACAAAATTTATAAATGCTTTTTAATCGTCACTGTGGCAGCAAGTGACAATTAAATATAATTGTAATGCTAAAACATAGAGTAAGAAAAGCACAAGTAGAGAAAAGTAAGAAAGTTAAATAAATATCTACCAAAACATTGCTAATTAGCCTACTGGTTATATTAAAATTGCATTTTTTAATTGTTGGAGGAATGTGTTGTTTCGTCTTTAAAAAGTTACACAGTCTCGCTTAATTAAAGTTAAAAAAGTGAGATAGTAAGTAAAATTATGAGATACAAAGATAAACATTTAATATACCATGAGTGTTTTTTTTATTTTATAACAACAAATTTTTCATCATATATTTCATCAAGTTTTGACTTACTAAGTAAGTAAAAATATAACATAGTAAGTCAAAATTAGAAGACAGCAAGTCAAGAATTTTTACTTACCATTTTTTTCAATGGGACCCTTTCTTCCACAAGTTAAAGTCAGAAATGTAAAGTTTGTGCTCAGATTTGACGTCTCCGACGTCAAATGATTTACTCACTATTAAGTCAATTTGGAGCAGGGAAGAGAACACAGTTAACATATTCATGCTATGGACTTATTACACATTATTCATATGAAAAGGATATTTTGCACACACACACACACACACACATGCATAATACACACAACTTCCACATCTGGACTGGAGTTCTCTGCCAAGGACCCTGTCGTCTTCTCTCTCTCTCTCTCTCTCTCTCACACACACACACACACACACGCACACACACACAGACACCTTTAATTGTTTCCCATTCTTCACCAGAGAGTATGTTCCTGTTCAGTTACATTCATTATAAATGATGTGGGAAATATTTCAGTGCTGGTCTCAGGTCAACTTGACTCCTGTGTCTAGAGACATAAAGACTTTATTTTTGTCAAACGCTGATGCCAGGTTCATTTCAGAGTTCCCTATTTTGTGCCTGAACGTTTTTGTTTTAACATGATTTTCCTGTAGCCATTGAAAACATTTATTATTTTTTATCTTGCACAGCTCACTCTCACTCACACTGCTACATGAAATATGAACCTGCTGAGCATTTAATTCAATAATAAGCCAAAACACTGACTTTTCCCAACAGTGCCGATATATTTGTCGAGTTGCAGCGTCTGGTTCAATTGAAACGTTATTGTCCTGCAGGGACAGACATGGCCGAGCTAAGTTTTCACAGTCTGGTGGCGAGTGCCATGTAAACACATTAGGTCATACAGTATTTATGAATATATAGTTTCTGGTCCTGTGCAATCAGACTGTTAACTTTTAGTTTAGCAGTGTAATATAACTGCAGTGATTTACTACAAAAATATAAAACATGGAAATTGAAGTTTTTATCTTTAAGCTTCTTTATGTTTGTCTTCTGTCAGACAAATCAAGTTTAATAACTTCTGTGTTAAGACTCGATTTTTCATGTGGCTCAACAGAAAGTCTGTCTCACAAAGACAGGCAGTTATTTCCCAGTTATTTCCTCCTGTAACAAATAGTAAATGCTTTTCCAACTTGTAGCATGCAAATTTAGGTTCCTTGTTCCGCGATTAACTTCTAGCCAAAGCGACACTCCTAACTTTGGCTCCACATTTATCATTAATGCCCACTATATACACAGTAATGGCAACATATGGAATTCCTATATTACCATTTCAGTGTTAAAGACGGAATCAGACCAAAGTTACCATGGTTTTCAATCAAGCATGAAAGCAGCAATGCTGTGGTTATATATAACCACCAGATCATTTCCTTCCTGTTAACTACAAAGTTCAACTGCATCGCTGCTTTTATGTGTGATAGAAAACCATGGTAACCTTGGTCTGATTACGTCTTTCACACTTGTAAAGTCAATGGTGATATGTAAATGGTCCATCCATCTTTTAGATCTTTTACAGGGTCGTGAGAGGGGGTTCTGGAAACATTCTCAGCTGACATTGGCCGAGAGGCGGGGTACACCCTGGACAGGTCGCATGATGAAGTATATGACTGCCTTTTACACTGTAGAGGGTTCCCATTGTGTCTTGACTTTGGGTCATTTTACACAGTACAGTAATGGGCTTTCATTAGTTTGGACTGCCCTTCCTTTACTCCCATGAACTTCTTAAGATTGACTTCATTGTTACAGAAGTAGCAGAGTGGGTGTCATGGTTACTTTCACGATTTAATGCATGCACAGGACTACCACCCCAAATAAAGTAAAAGGTAGTTCACTGTGGGATGGTTTATGATAGAAGGTCAGACATAATTAAAAAATATATACCAATTAAAATTTTGATTTGGCAAAATCCCTCACCCTTTCTCTCTGCACAGTATATTAACTGACAGAAGTTATTTTTGTCACACCCCTGTCTCTCTGAGAAGGGTTCAAGCGAAGTTCAAGTTTCTTGAAGAGTTTTGGAGCGAGCTGACGAAAACGAGCAAAGCAGAGGAGAGCGCAGCAGAGCAGAGGTTAGTCAATTACAAGGCTCTACTCTAGTAACAAACATCTATAAAGCAAATTCTTGGCTCTCTGTGAGTGTGTGTGTGTGTGTGTGTGTGTGTGTGTAGGTGTGTGTAGGTGTGTGTGTGTGTGTAGGTGTGTTGGTGTGAGTGTGTGAGACAGAGACAGAGGCAGGAGAAAAAGAAGTGTTGGTGCACGAGGCT